GGAATCATTTTAACAGAAAAACAACAGTGTTTGGTAGATAATTTGTGGCATCTTCAAACCATGCCACAAGCATCAAATTTTAAAGTACAAATTTTAAATGCTTTATGCATTTATTTCCAAGAAMAAACTCAGAAAGTACCTGAAAAACAAAAACAAAGATTTTCACATTATGTAATTTTCAGAGGTACAAAACTGGGAATTTTTAACAAATGGGAAACAGTAGCAAAATACATACAAATTCCCAAACCAATTTTTAAAGGATATTACAGTTTCTCGGAAGCCTTGAAAGCGGCAAGAGAGAGTTTTGGACTAAAAGAATTTACAATTGAACCCGAAGAGATTAAATCTTATTCGGAGATGGTAAATATTCGCCCTGAGCAACTGATCAAAGCTCAAGAAGATGTAATTGCAAAATTACAACAGCAGTTATTAACATCTGGAAAAAATACACATGCTACACATCTCCAGATTGAGAACACAATGTTAAAACAACAAGTCGCTCTTCTTGAAGCAAAAGTCACACAGCTTATACAAATGTTTGATAAGAAAACAGATACAATATTACACAGAGATTACAASWGCTTCAAAGTCCGAATTCTTGACATGCCTTGGACACAAGTTATGCAACCAATTTTGGATCGCATCCCAGAATTGGAAAACATAATTTCATCCAAAGTACTAACAGAATTCTCTGCCATCCTATACACTTTACAAAGGCGTATCGTTGATATTCTTTTCAACGAAAGAACAAACMCAGGAGTTACAGTTGTACAGACAACACCAAACAATACTCTTYGCCTACAGATAAATCTCAAATATGCCAAGATGACAGACGAAGATATTCTAAGTTTCTACCATCATGGTATGATAGATTACTTAGAATTCAGCTTCACCCCGAGAACAGAAAATTTGCTTAACAAGCTCGGAGAAAAGTTTATCTTAACAGCAGGCAATATTGTTACCTATACTGATGCACCCAGCATAAGATGCAAAATATTTTCTTCATTCCCAGAAGCAACAGGAAAAACATACAGGCCAGCGCACAAAAGGATCTTCATCAGTCACCATACAGAAGATCAAACTCGCCTCAAAACCATTGGATGCACAACACAGATAGACGTAAACAGTCTCATATTCCGTCATCAAGACGAAATGACAGAGCAATTTAAAACATGGATAGAGGAAGAACAAAAGACACCAGAACTCCCATACAGATTCAAGTGGTCAGACTATAAA